GGAAAAAACCCCTGGCATGCCGTATCCAGGCTTGGCATGCCTCCACACCTATGTCACCACAGGCTAGTTCCATGGGTTGCAGGAGATTTACCCTGGTGTAAGGTTTGCATTCATATATCTTCCACCGCCATGAGGAGAAGAATTCTTCAGTGGGGTTCAGGAAAGGGGAGTACGGTGGAAGGCAAAGATTGATGAAACCTTGGTTCATATTGAAACACTCTCTAACCCGGAGGGCTCTGTGAAAACTCACATTGTCCCAAACAACAACATAGATGGGATGCTCATCCTGCTGCCCTAACAGAGCATCTCGCATGTGATTGAGGTAAATGAGGAGCTGGTGAGTGTTGTAGGGCCCAAGGTTGGCATGATGGTGGACAACCCCATGATTGCTTATGGCAGCACACAATGTGACATTGCCACCACGCTGCCCAGGGACACCAACAATGGCCCGTTGGCCAATCACGCTACGGCCTCTCCTTCTCCTTTTGGTGAGATTACAGTTTTTCTCGATTGCTAAGACACATTTCTCGAAAGCAGCTCTCCTTTTCTCTAAACTGTGAACACAAAACCCAATTTTCAAGCTACATTCACAAAACCTCAGACTCTTCTTGCAAAACCAAACTTTCACCTCAAAACAGTTTAATCTGTGCTCAAAACTGAACTATGTTGTCAAATCGTGCCCAGAGTCAATCAAAATTAAAAACACTACTGAGCAGTCACTAAACACTACATAGAAAAATAGAAAACACAATGCTCAGGACATGAAGCTCTCGAAATAAATGTTTATTGTTCACTGTAGGCTAAATGCATGTTGCAAAACAAAAAACCTGTGCATTAGCACTTGTTCGTAGTAAAAATATAAAAGTATAATAAACAGAAATCTTGCGCATTTACGTAGCACTTGTACAGTACAAAAACAAACAGAAATCTTGTGCATCAACCACCTCCACCTCCTCGACCACCTCTCACACAAACTCCTCTCAGATTTCTATCCATTGTAGTGCCTCACAAACCAGTGCTCTCTGAACTGGCTTGTTCCCTCACATCATTAGCCACAAGTGTGATCAATTTTGAGTTGTTGTGTTCAACCGGTGACACCTGTGTTTTAATTGTGTTTGACTTTTGCCACCTGTGCTCACCATTATGCAACACAGGTGCATCACAATGAAAATGTGTTGGCAAGTTGTGTCTAAACAGGTGAAAAGTGCTTATGGTTTTGCCAAAGGAGTAAATGATTCAATCAGTGGGTTCAGGCAACTGAGCATTTGGTTCAGACAATAGGGTTTAGTGTTTTAGCAATTGAGAAAAACTGTATGTGTATCACCTCCCTCTTCATTCCCCCCCGCTCTACAGGTGGGACAGTAAATAAATAAGTCACACACAAAAACACACACATGTATTTGAAATTCTAGAGGAGATCCTAAAGTTTTCAAACATACCAAATGTGTCATGCTGAAACGTGGGGAAATGATGCAGAGACATCTAGAATTTTTCCACTGACTTGAGTTTCAAATTCAACTTCAATTTTTTCAGTTTTCTTTTTTACCCCAGTGTAAACATGACAGCTTCAATCAAATCAAGAGCTGGGACAAGCTGATAAAGGATATAAATGTGCTACTTTCAGACAGTGTGGAGTACTTAAAGAAACTATAGCCTATGTAATTTTTGCTGATCAGCAACCACTGTGGTCATAAATGGAAAATTGAGGACAATGACAAAACCTTAAAATATATACATTTAATAACATTAGCCATCGTAGGCTACTGGTCACACCAGACCAAGCAAGGATGTAGCAAAATAAAAATGCTGAGCATGGGCTACAGAAGTACTGAATTCAGCTCTTTGTAGGGAGGAATAATGTGTTATTCCTTTTTCCAAAAGTCACACTGTCACTTTAAAGCTATAAGGGGAAATGATTAGAATATGACAAAGTTCTTATTCACGTTCTTGTCAAGCGTTAGATGGGAAGATGGATACCACTGTGAAGATCAGTCAGGCCTTGGCATCTCCAAGAGCAAGATGAAGACAACTGGACTTGCTCGAGGTTCTTGAGGACATTTTCACCTCTCATCTAAAAGGCTTCTTCATTTCTATCTGACAGTTAGAACATCTTCAAGTACCTCAACCAAATCCAGTTGCCTTCATATAGCTTTTAGAGATTGACACCACTGGATTTTGGCAACTGGATGCTGTCTAATTATTTACTTGCACTCTCAGGGTGTTGAGGTGGTGCACCCTCTCTGTCCCCCTCTCAGCTCTCACGATCCCACAAATGATGCTGCAGTCCCATCAGCCCCTGCTCATGTGTGCCAGTGTGCAGGGGTTTGTTGCAGTCCACTGGACTGCGAATCAACAGGCCAGATAGGGGCTGACACCATGGATAAATCCCTACTGTTCTACCAGCATGCCAGCACATTCCTGAGGCACGGCTAAGCCCAAGGAAAGACCCAGCGAGGAAGCATTTGATCACTTACCACTGTCCCCACACAGAAAGAGAAGCCACCGACCTGGCAGCATGGCTAAACGTTCAGCACCCATAAAGCTGTTTTCCAGTAGCACTGCCTACTTCTTTATCATTGGAGAGTCTCTTTAAAGCTGTCATTATTTTTTGGTCTCTTGAAAGCAGCAAAAATAATCTAAAAACATAGCATTTATTTGGGATTGTGGTTTGGCAAAGACAATATTCGTTCTGTGTTTTAACTCTGGTCTGGTCTCCATTAACTCCTGAGAAAAAGACCTGTTTCTTTAGTTGCTAAATGCTCCACTATGTTCACCAGCTAGCTGCTAACTGTGTCTATCTGCTGTTTGATGCTCAGCAGCTGAACGATTGAGTTAGTTTCCAGTGTGCCATTGGGCCGCTGTATACTGGCGTTTTCTCAAACAATCCAAGGTTTATGTTGGACCAAATAACATTTCAATTACAATTTTGTTTATAATACAGCAATTCAAGGGTTAGCTGTACCCTGCAAACATTGCCGCTCTTTGCATGTCTGAGGATGTTGACTTTTTGCATTATCCTTAGCCTCTCATGTCAAAGAAGTTATATGTAGCCATCAAGTGCTTTCTTGAGAACCCTATCACAAAATTCTTGTTTTAAGTACTTTAAGAACTTTATATATTATTAGGCAGTTTAATCTATAACAATACATCATATTTAATAGGATGATAATATGTTTTGTAAGAAAAAAGCTTAGTCTGCAAAGTAACTAGTAACTATAGCTGGCAAATAAAGGTAGTGGAGTAAAAATAAAAACACATTTCAAAAGTAGCATCAAATGAAAATACTCAAGGAATATACAAGTACATAACATTGTGTATAAGTACCGCACTTGAGTTCTGCAGTGATAAATATATTAAATACTCACCAATCTCCATGAAAACTGAACTCTCATCAGCTGATGAAGACTATGAGATGTGGCTGAAAGTGTCAGAAGACAACAAGTATAAGAATGAGTGTTATGTAATGTGAGTGTCAAGATTGAACCTTCACACTCCAGAAATGTGTGATATTTTTACTTGAATGAACAAAATGATTAATTATCACAATTATCAAAATACATTTTCTCCTAATCAACAAATTAACTAATTGAATGATCATGTTAGCATTGATCACCTGCTATTTCTGTTTCTTGCAACATTCACAGTATTACTCTCTTGCTGTTTGCGCCACATTTATAACTTACTCATATGTTTCTACTTTCTACTTTGTGCTCTTTTACACATAGTCACTAAAAATCTTCTTCATTTGTACCTTATATACAGTATTTGTGTATTATTCCTTCCTTAGTGTTGTGTGTCTTTTTGCTGACAAAGTTTAATCCCAAGAATTTCACTCAGTTTGATTTTGTGCTCCTCTGTGCAGATAAAAAAAATAAAGTAATCTGAACCTTTGAAACATCAACCAGTCTATAACTAGTTCACGTTTATGAAACAACATACTTGATCCAGGTCCAGTTTGACTTCCTGCAGGGAGCATGCATCAATCAGTATCAAATAAATTCCAGCTTCTTACTGTCAGATGAGGAAATGAAACTGCTGCTGTCCGGTGTCTGTGGATCTAACAAAAGAGCTTTCACATTGACACACTCTTTCCACTGTTCACCCTGAGGTGCACAATCACATGTTTCATACTAATGTGTGCAGAGGCAGCCCTCAGGAGTTTCTCTGGCTGTATGATGAGTTACAAACAAGAGAAAACAGGATGCAAACAGAACATTAGGAAATGTTTTATTTCAACCAGAATTTTTACAGGATCCCCGTCACTGCAATAAAACCAAAATCCAGTGATGCTCACATGAATTAATTTGAGTTTCAAGGAGCCACAGAAGTGTCACAGTATTTGTATGTCCAAACAGAGTCCAGACTGAACAGAAAGCCACAACTGAACAACAGCAAACTTCACTGACTGTATGGCCGGTTTGTGTTTGTGAATATACAGGTATGATTAGACTCACTGTGACATGAGGCAGATGGTTTTCCTTCATGAATGTTTTGTGTATGCTTAAAACAGACTGCAGTGTCGTACAACATCCTTTCAAACCGATAATTTCAGTATCTAACAATAACATTTGTTCTAAACATACTATCAATTCTTTTAGGATGAAAAAAAAAACTTGGTGAAACTAAACAACACTTGAACAAACGTATGGCCCAAACATGTGTTTGTTTATTTTCACTAACTGGGTAGAAGCTAAACAACCATTAAAAAACACATGGCTCAACACAGGAGGACCAACACCTCAGGTCGAGAATCAGCAGTTTACCTTCACCTGAGGGAGAAGAGACACTCCCACGAGAACAACAACGTGCATATTTTGGATAGGGAGGACAGGTAGTTTGAAAGAGGAGTGAAGGAGGCTGCCTATGTTAAAGAAACTATCCCTCGGGATGATTAAAGGAATAGTCTCATATTCTGTGAAATACACTTATTTGCTGTTTTGCAGAGAGTTAGATGTTAGATCAGTCGATTAATACCACTCTCATGTCTGTACGCTAAATATGAAGCTACCTTCAGCAGATGGTTAGCTTAGCTTAGCATAAAGACTGGAAACAGGGGGAAACAGCTAGCCTGCCTCTGTCTAACAGTAAAACAGTCTGCCTGCCAGCATTGGTAAGTTTTATTGTCAACGTGAGGTTGCCAGGCAACCAATCAGTCTCTACGATGCTAAGCTAAACTAAGCTAAGCTAACTCAATTTATTGCTTCATCTTGTGAAATAACCAGATAGTTTTAGTGTCTAACATCTAAAAATAATAAGTAATGATCTGTAAATTACTATTTTTAAATTATTAAAACGTTAATAAATGTATCTACTAAATGTTCATTTACTATGCGTTTAATTTGTTTTTCTACAATATCTGCTCATAGCAACTAAAGCATGATCAAAATGTTTTGACGGTTATGTTTAGGCACTCACTGCAAGTCAAGTCAATTTTACTAACGTAGACCAGTGTAACATACCAACATACAACAGCCTCTGTCCTTAGACCTTAACCAGCACTTAGGTAAGGTAAGGAAAAAATTGTAGCTTTGGTCCAACACTGAAAAAGTTAACAGTGATTTGAAGCACAGGACACAACATGTTTACATTTAATGGAAACACAATCTTTCCCTAAGCTTAACCACAGGGCTCTTGTGACCTTCCTTCTCTATTGTCAGTAAAGATAACTCAGGCAGCAATTACTTATCTGTTCAAAAAGTAATTGGAAAACAAAGTAGTTGCACAGATTTAATCTTGACAGTTGCCACAGTAGATATTTCTTCATTTTGAGGGGTCATAGGAAATGGTTGGAAACAGTATATTTAGGCTAGTCATACAAATGAAAAACTGGCAACTGGCTTTAGATATAAGAACAAAGGACCCTGTTACATGTTAGGGACATTCAACACACTGGGGTCATGTAAGTAATGAAGGGTCACTAAAAATCACTTTTTAATAACTTCTGACTTTCTCACAATCTCCTGTATTACTGGAGCATTATAGTGTAGGAGTGGATTAGTGTGGTCTGGAATTCCTTCAGAGGAGACGTACAGAGCAGAGCTCCCACACTGTACTCGACCCCCTGCCATGGCTATACACCCTCCACCCAGGAGACGTGAACCCCCTCACCCCTCACCACCACATCACACCAGCTGAGGGGAAGTTTCTGCATAAATTTCTCTTTCCATAATCAGTTCCGCCTTAAACTGAAGCAACATCTACTTGTGGCCCCTCATGATTGGTTACCAGTTCAACCAAAATGATTTTTTTCCTTTGTTTTATTTGAATATTTTTAAAAAGACACGAAACCTACAATTTTCCAAAAATTACGACAACAAAAGCAAAAATTGGAGGAACATCTGAAAAATGAATTGGTAACGGGTTACTTTTCTTAACTTGTTAACATTCATGTGATCATTCAGATTAAACTTGTGATCAGTTGTGAGATCCGGACCCTCAGGTTGTGGAACTACTTTCTGGATAGAGATGTTGCTTTTGAACATTTGCATTTACAGCGGTGTGGCTCTATGGCAGTGTCAGCTGGTCCACCACTTTGCTCCAGACTAGAATATCTCAACAACTGTCAGAGGGAACGCCATGAAATTTTGTACAGACATGGCTCATGGGGTTGATAATCCTCTAGCGCCACCAGGAGGTTAACATTTGCGGTTCTTACTGCAACAACTACTGGATGGATTGCCATGAAATTTGGTTCAGGCATTGTTGAGTGACAATAACTTTGGCGACGCTCTGACTTTTAATCAAACGCCATCATCATGCAAACTTTCAACTTATCACTTACTTTGGTTTATGACCAAATACCTGCCAAACTAATGACATTTCCATCAGCCTTATTTTTTCTTTTATATTAATTTACAAATATTAGCATATTAACATGCTAAACTAAGATATATGACATGATAAACATTGTCAACATGTTTGCATGCTGATGTCAACATTGCTGTGATTCCCATGTAACAACTTGCGAGCAACTGACAAATCAAAACTGTTGTGTGAATTAAAAATATTGTCCACAATATATCACCATATCTATTAAATGTGGGTTTAATTACATTGAACAATAGTCTTTGGCTTATGTGAGGAGTCCACATTTGCGTTGATTTCAGTCAGTTTTGTATTAGTAAGTGCTGCGTCAGATATAACGGAGCTTTCAGAAAAAATGTCGAAGTCGTAATGATGACTTACAGTAACTCCATAAACAAAGCTTTACCTCCAGTATAGGGATGTTATTTAGAGACTGATATATAAGGGTGGGTTCAATACAAAACGATTTGAATTGAATCTCTGAAATTTGATTGGATGACAAAAAATGTGTGTGGCTTGGCAAGTAAAGCACAACACTGAACTCCCCTCCCTCACCTACATTGGTAGTTCAGCAGGAGGAGGATAAGGATTAAATAAATAAACAAATTAGACCTCAAACACAGTCTTTGGAAATGTAAACAAAAATGTAACCTGCTGAAATTCAAATACATACAATATTACTTTGATATAGATCCGCTGGCTACCCATGAGCTAATGATCAAGAGATTTTATACGGTGGATGTGGTTAACTAGTCAACCCAAATCACACATTTGAAAAAGAACCACCAGCTGTATCCAAACATCCGAACCAAACCTGATCTGTACACACTTTTTCTGAGATTTATGTATTCATCTGCAGTGTTTAGATATTTTGACGTTCTATACTGAGTAATTTAATTGAATCATTCAGTCATATCATTAGTCATTACATGCATTTATTTGAGAGGAACAAATTTCGCCATACATATCTTTGTGATTACCAGCACATTTCAATTAAGTTAACAAATTATTATTAAAAATTTCTAAAAATTAAAGCATTACAAACAGTGGGGGCAAACTATCTGTTGGGTGGAGAAGAGCAGGAGGGTCGAAATATGCTCCTTTTCAGAAGAAAAAACAAAACAAAAACAAATAACACACCTGCCTGTATCTGTCTCGGGAAAAAATTCAAAGCAGGGCAAACCAGCTCTCTTCACAAACATACATGAAGTTTACATTTGTTTTTAAAGTTTTACTGCCTTGCTCTGGAAAATTCAGGACAGGAGTTGGATTTGAACAGAGACTTTAGCGCCTGCAGTGTGTTTTAATATGATACCGTGATATTCTTTGTTCTGGCTCCACTGTAGGGAAAAAAAGAAAACAACCACCAGCGCCCCCATGTGGCCACAGCTTCACCCAGCAGAGTAGCATTAAAGCAACAACAAGGATTTTGATTATGTTTGAAGTGTCATTGTATTCGCTTTCAGTACTGCACCCCGACTGTTATCAATATCAACCATTCAATCATATTTACCTTTCCTCCCAACAAGGATTTGCCCCCTCCCCCTCCAAAAAAACAAAACAAAAAACGAAAAAAAAAAAAAAACCTAAATATTTGCTCTAGTTTGAATCTGAAATATACAACAAAAAGGAGGGCAACCTTTAAAAGCAACCCCCAAATGGAAAAGAAAAGATAAAATGAGGAGGGGTGAAGAAGAAAAGGGGGGGGGGGAATAAATCAGAAAAGGCTCATATAGCTATAAAATAAATACAAAATAACTAATTTCTCAAAGCAGCCAAACAAAAAAAACAAAAAACAAAGACTGAATCTGAAGTGGTGAGTTTGAAGGCAACATGAATGTGAGCTGGAGCAGAGAGGTGAGATGGCACAAAGTACCAATGGAAGACTGAGGGACACGAGGATGGAGAGGGGAGATGACGACAGAGATCGAGCTGCTTTTCTTGAAAGAGTTTTACACAACAATGACTGGTTGAATAAAGCAATAATAGTGTCTGAAGTTGCAGATAATCAAAGACAAACGACCTTTTTCTTTTTTACTGTAAACAACTCAATCAAAAGCAGACAGCATTGCTTTCCGACATTCGCAGAAGTTCTGGGTTTTTCAGCTTTGTGACTCTCAAAAAGCGGAGACAGGCGGGATACAGTCGCGATTCCTCCACATTAGGTCTGAAGAGACTGACCAGAGGGGGGGACACTGATTCCTGAGGGGCCAAAGTGAGCAGAGGACGAGAAAACAGACAAGAGGGGAAGTCACTTTGGCAGAGGTCCCTTAGTTTTTTTTTTCCAAAGGGGGAGAATGAGTGGGAGTGGGGACACAGACATAAAACGTTGACATTTAAACAGACACGTTAACCTCTTCAGCGTCCGTGGTTATAAAAGCCTTTGACGGTGACCTACTTCCACCCCCAGAACAAGTGTTTAAAGCCAGCAGGTCCACTCGGCAGGGTCCATCACCGGTCCGTCACCGTTATTTTGTCTTGTCTGAGTGTGCCATCAACCACCCTTTTCTTATCATCACCGTTATGTCTTTGTGTATGTGTTATGAAAAACCTTTAATTGCTAGTTATTTCTCCAACTACAGTGTAAATCTACAGAGGAGAGCGAGTATGGGCTGTGAGAAAGGTCTGTGATCTGTCTTTGGTTAGTGTTTTATCCTCCCTCCTTTGTCCCCCATCTCTCTTCTTTCTCTCCCACAGGTGGTTGCGTTGCGTGTAAAGATTTCAGATTGACAAAATGTAGTGATAACAGTGTGATTTTATTTCTCTTTTTCCCCCCTCTTTCTCATACTCAGTGTGCACATGTATGTGATTCAGTGGTTGATGTAGTGTGGATGTAGAGGATTCCTTATTTGTCACAGCCAAGCTCGAGAGGTTGATTTTGTCCTTTGTGTCTTTCCCATAATTTGCTTGTATTTTTGTGTATAGAGCTTCAACTGTAACACCAGGTCTTTTGTCCTTTATGGAAACATCATGTTGTTGGTAAAGTAAAAGAAACGAGAAAAACATTGTAGGGCCAACAGTCACGTAGTAGAGCCAGACAAACTATCTGAGTGCTGTTTTCTCCTGTCCTTGCGGTCCCTGTGGAAGTAGAAGAGAGGCAATAAATTAGTCCTGAATGTAGCAGAAAACTTTTTTTTAAAAAACAAATTCTATATCTATATCTATCTATTCTACATCACATATTTTAAGGCAAAAAACTATCTAAGCATTACTTTTGGTGCTACCCTGGTAGACAGATGTGCAGAAAATTGAAATAGTAACAGAGAAAGTTAAATTCCAGTAGCGTCAGCACTGACTGTAAAAGAGATCTTCATCAGAAACACTGTATCTCCAAAAATCTTTTTCTTTGTGGAAAAATCTTTCAAAGCCAATTTGTGTGGGTTTTAATTTCTGAAAGTAAAACCCTTTTGCTTAACCAATCTGTGCTCACTGCAGTGTCTGAGGCCATTACAGCACATCTGAAGGATTACCTTGCAGTCATCAAAATTTGGGTGTAAAAAAACTGAATTTCGTTCTGTCAATACGGCCAACCTTTCACCTCGTCTACACGCCACCTCATCTCTTTCAAACGGGAAGCCATGTATCTGAGTTCAGCTGCAGTGGCAAGGGGAGGGAGGGCGCTTGTCACTCTTGTGAACATGTAGGCTTCTTACAGCTACCATTGGAGTTTATGATGGTTCAGTTTTTTTTTAACTTACCTCTGTGGCTAACTGTGCAACCATGGCAACTACAGAAACTACAGAGAGGAAAATGATAAGGGAGCTGATTCTACTATTTGAGTTCCCTGAATTACACAACTCATCAGCAGAGAACAGGCAGGTCAATGAAGACAAACAGTATTGAAGCAACATCAGCTTCAAAGCTTGATTATCCAGTCTGGGAAAATAAACTAAATTTATGGTGCTAGTGAGCAAAACTTGCTCTATTAATCACATCATATTGCCATCCATTCTCTCTATTTTAAGATACAACCCACTCTTATTTAACTGCGTGATGATATCACAGTGGGTGGACAGCAGCCTGTGGTGTACAAAGGGACTGGACGAAGTCGATGGCGACGTTGTGCCCTGCTGTTGCCGATTGCAACAACAGAACACTGATATTGCTGGGCGTCAACCGCAGTGGCAACCACTTGCTGTCTGAAAGCACCTTTGTGGTAAAAATATGCTGATCAAACAGGCTGTTAACAAGCCAACAGTTTATACAGATTGGCTACCTTTTAATTTGGAGGTTAAACAGGAAGTCTGTCTGTAAACTGGGCCAAAATACAACAGACAGTTTGAATAATACTTAGTGTTTGTCTTTATTTTCTCTCCCTATGGACTCATTGAAGTGATGATGCTCTGGTTCAAGTTCTCAACAGTTACACAGGAAAGTACTAGCGCAGATGGCCTGGGGTACAAAAGTTTTCATTTCAATGAGCCATATTTTTTTTTACTTCCTAAATGAGGTGTCTTTTCTGGTAATAATATAACGACCAAACATGGCGGGTGATCATGGTGAACTACAGACAGAGGGATATTGTTTAAGGAAAGAAAGGCAGATTAATTACAGGAGGGAAGAAGAGATTTGTATTGGTGAAATATTTTATTTGATGGAGTTTTACATTCAGACCTACTTTTTGAGCATGAGGTCATTAATAGAGATAAAGTGCTTTTGAAGGAGTAAATTCTCCAAGTTGAAATCCCTGTTTGATGGAAACTTTACAGTACGTCAAAAGTATGATGATGATGAATCTGTGTCTACTTAAGACTTCTATTGTACATACATAAAGACAAATGTTTACCTCACAACCTCATGGTGCATCTCTCCCCGTATCCAAACTGGCTTCTAGCAGCAGCTCCTCTAGGTCCTGTCCACAGCTGACGCTCACTACATAAGTAACACATGACACACATTATCAAACAGGCTTTTCACACCCGGAAAACTGCACATGACTTTATTTATCAAAAAAGATCAGTGATTACAGCGACCCACCGTGCTCCATCACACAGCTGCTGGGCTTGGGGCTTTCAGCATCAAGGAGATGGAGAGAGAACTCGGGCTTCAGGCCGTTGGGAAGCGCTGAACCAACTACCTCTCCCTCTAGAGCCTCGGCGAAACACTCGACCTCGTCTGCAGAGCTCTCATCGGGTGAATCCTCCACTTCGACTGGGGAGACAGAGCAGGTCGTGGCAGATTCGGGACTCTCGGAGGCTTTGTCTGCTTGAGGATTTGTCTCGTGTGCTCCACTCTGAATGACACATTGTGCCTGTTGATCAGTCTGGACAGAGAGAACAGACTCTGCTCTCTGTTCATCTGTTTTTATTTGCTGCTTTTCATTTGGTTGCTCTTGATTTGGCAGGCTGTCTTCTTTCTCCGTTAAACTGGGCTTTTTGATTTCTGACAAGCTGGCTGGTGCTTCCTGCTTCTCTTCGTGTTTAGGTGCCTCCTCTCTCTCTTCTTCCTCTGTTTGGTTTGGTGACTGCGTGTCCTCTGATGCAGATGCTAGCTCATTCTGTAGCTGTTCAGCTGCAGATGTTAACTGTTGCTGTTGTGTGTCTACTGCAGGGATGCTATCCTGGGTTTGACTCAGTTCTCCTAACTGTTTACACTCTTCTTCTGTGCTATCAGGGGACATTACCTCTCTTTCATCTTCCATAGGGTCTTCCTCTTGCGCCTCTCCTTCCTTCTCTCCCTCTTCACAAGTGGGCTCAAGTTGGGGGATTTTGGTGCTCTTTATTACCTCCTCAGTGAGCTGAAATGCTGCAGCCTGCACCGGGGAGGAATCTGAAGGCAGGGCTGGTGCTTGTAGATTTGGATCTGTCACTTCTGCGTCTAAGGTATTAGCTGTTACATCCTCTCTGGGTTGACACTGTGGCTCTAATGTGTGGGTCTGTGTAGTATTTACTGCAGATTCTGAGTGTGCTACTGGACTCTGCTCTGTCAGTTTACAGTCTGTTGACGGAGCAGGTGAGCGCTCCTTCATGTCCTCCTGTGTTAGCTGTGTTTGTGTAGGTGTTTGAGGTGCAGGCAGGGGCTGTGTCTGCTGTGTGATGGGCTGTGTGTTTGTTTCTACAGGCTTCTTTGAAGCCTCTTTAGTTTGGCTGGGAGCTGCTGGTGCACTTAACGGGAGTTGTAGCTGCTGCTGCTCAGGGGGGCTCTCCACCCGGGTTACCATGAAGATCTTATGTCCCCTCCCTGGGCTTGAGACTGATATACAGCGACCAGGAGATGGAGGGGTGCCAGGAGGAACTGCGGATTCTGTGACTGTGATGCCAGAAATGAGACTTGGCCCTCCAGCAGGTGAAGCAGACTGGGATGATGACGTACATGAGGCACTAAGGGGGGGGGGTTTAGCCGCTTTCCGGGTTTGAGGAGCAGTCTGGTTTGAATGAGTGTAGGAGTTTGACGTGGAGGAGGACTTCGTTACCACCTCCTCTTCCTCTTCATCCTCAGTGTCCGAGTCCGACTCCAGATTTACTTGAGAAACGATCTCAGAGCTTGCTCCTGCCTGGTTGCTTGTCTGTCCTTCATTTCCTGTTGTTCCACCCCCTTCCTCTTCTTCTCCCCCTTTCCCCCCTCCATCAGCTCTCTCCCCAGATGCTGCTTCCTCCTCCTGTTCTCTAGTTCCATCCTCTGTGGCGATTTCAGCCATGGAGGCTGATTGCCTCATCTTCTGCTCGGTTTCCTCCTTCTCTTTAGCCAGGATGAAGTTCCTCTTGCAGCCGTTCTGGATCTCAGAAAGCAGGGCGCGCTGGGTCTCAATGAAACTCTTCACCTGAGAGACAGAGAATATGGCTCAAACATGCAACATAAACCACAAGTATTTCAGAATAAATACAACTAAATCAAAGCTATTCCTATGGTGTAATTTGAGTTCTTCAGTCTGATATTTTAGTCAGTAAGATTATCATCTTTCAAACCACAGTTTTCTTTAAAAGAAAAATGGGTCTTGTCACTCCCAATCTCCCTCTGCCCCCATTTCCTGTCATCACTCCACTGTCAGCAAGGTAAATAAAGGCATGAAGTGCCCCAAAAAATTATTTTAAAATGGGGCTAAGGTTGGTGTTATTCTGTATTGCATTTATTGTTAACAAATGGAACCAAGGTTCCTCTCTACCCCGTCTGTAGCTCTCACGACCAAGCATGATCTTTCCTTCTGAAGACATAAATCTACACACTTTGATTCAAATCAAGGCAAAATAATTTCATCATCAAATGTTCAAACAGGAGTAAATAGTGTTTTTGTTGGGAATTCATTTCAACTGCTTTTTTAGTGCAACACTTTTGGTAGGATCAGTTCATTGTTGGTTTTGGTCTTTTCATGGGATTTGTTGATGATAAGAAAAATATATAATATTGCCAGACTTGAGCCCAGAATTCCAAATCCATGTGGAAGAGCCTGTTTGACATACATCTATGTAGCCTGGGATTGATCAATCAGACTACCTGTGCTGACGAACATGTGAACAAGACACCCAATGGAGGATAAACACTGCCATGTCTGTTTAGACTATATCTGGCCATTTACCTACTCTCCTCTATCCCCATCCCTACGCCTTATCCCTATACTCACAGTTTCTTTCTTGGGCTCCCGGTCGAGATCGAGACGTAGCAGAGAGGTGTTGACTTTTATGGCGAGTGACAGGGCCATCAGTCCACCTGTCTTGATCTCATTCTCTCGAAGGTCCAGGCGCACCAGTCTGGGGCTCTCAGCGATGAATTCAGCCACAGCCACAGCTCCTATAGCACAGATGACAGGAAGAAACAGGAGTTATAAAATGCAAGACAGCAAAAAACCTCCACAAAAACTGGACCAGAGGCACACAGGCACTAACTCCCACCTTCGCAGGACAGTTTGGTAGAAGCGAGGCCCAGTCTGAGCACAGAGCGGTTGGCAATCAGTCCGTCTTTCAGCTTGTGGACCCCTTCGTTACCCACTGAGTTATTGCCAAGGTTCAGAGTCTCAAGACTCTGGGTGCATGGCTGAGAGAAACAACAGAAGAGAATGAAAAGTTATTTAAAAATGCAAACAGAGATGCAAACATGTCCGTATTTAATGTTCAAAATAATACAATTATTTTAATACACAAATAAAAGTTTTGCTATGGGACGGTTCATCATAAAATCACATTGTTGAATATGCTGTTTTGCTGAGAATTTTCTGATATTACAGTAAGTGTAAAACGTGTAGCTTTGTGTAGCTGTGCCATCTGTATTACTGTACAGTCTGTTTCATATAATTTATTGTATAACTGCTCTGGATGTTGATGAAACAACATGATTCACATAATATGATAAGTGAAATCATATCATAATAGTTTGTATTTCTAATGACTATATATATTGCATTAAGGCAGCAAGCTACAATGTGGTTATGTCCAGGGTTATCAGCAGACAGGACAGTCCTGAGATGTACCTTATCAGTATAATTGGAGGTTTCAAGTCATTTTGTGTGTCCTGCACATCGTACAAGCCTCAGTAAAAAACACCAGATGGGTTTCATGGAAGAGTTCAAAAATGCAGTATTTTATGTTCTAAAAGCAAAACAATTGCGTGCTTCTAAAAATAAACAGCCTGCTGTGTCATAATTCTCCATAATTAACAATATCTTTCGTCTATAGAGCTCAGATTTAATACTTTTTGTTTAATCAAACCTTCCTGATCTTCAGTAGTTACTGGTCACATCACTGGAGTCTATCCCCTGATGTTTGATTTTATATCCATCCATTTATTTCCATTAACTGAAATTAAAGAAGCTTCACTTGAAACTTCAAATTCTGCCAATAAAGAACAATGTTCATCTACATAAGCTGTCGTTGTAATAAGGTTTTTGTACAAATAAATTATTTTCTCTTGGCCTCCGTTTTCTGCATCAGGGACACATTAGATGAACTACACAGAAAGGTATGTAAATGGACTGTAGTGGTATACAACAGCATCAACTGCAAATAGATATACATAAACATTATGAGAAAATGTAACAATAGCTATCTGATCCATTAACAGTTAATAAACAAAATGAAAGATATTACTGATAAAATCTTCCTGAATCATTAACCACTGTTTCGTATTCAAACCTGATAACTGTTCTTTTTGGCCACTTGGGGGCAGTGGGAAAAAGTTGTCAAAACAGCACTGACATTCCACCTTTAAGTTTATAAGGGGAACTCTTTCTGATTTCCAGCAGTTATAAAGCAACATCATCCTTCATTTGGAGTTGAGTTTATTGCCACCTGGTGAATTTAAGTCTAATATTCTCTCTTCTTTAGCTCTGCTTGGTTCTTGAGCTGCTAAACGCTCCAATGCTTCTCCAAGGTGTTTTTGGTGGTCCACACAGTTTTACAGCTAAAAATATCCTTTTATATATTTTATATTATATATTTTTATATTAATATAACAGAACCTTAACAAAACATTTGAACATTAAAAACAGCAGAAAAAAGTTTCTTACTCTGATGAGGCTGAGACTGTATGACTCAGCAGTATCTGAATATAAACACTGTAATACTAAAAAAACATGCTGATATCCCACAAGGAAAACAGAGCACAAGAGATAATGGCGCTATCGCTCAACAACAGAAATGCAACCAATTACTTTAGTAATAGATAATCTAGACCAGCCAGCTGTGAACTCATACCAAGCTGAATTGTGGGAAATGGTGTGGCACTAAGACTTGAGCTCACATTTGTTCACAGAGTGAGAAATGACTGCAGAAAATGTCAGGTGTATTAATGAGGAGCCCATGTGGAAAAGTTCAGGCAAATCTCACATTATAACACCTACTTTCACAGCACATCAATGTCTCAGCTACATACCTGTTACTCTTAAGTTTACACAATCAAATCAGGTTGCGATTTCTCTGGTGAAACGCAAATATGATTCATCCGTCTTACTCCATAAAAATACAAAGGTCTTAATCTTATTTGTTTTAAACAGGATCCCACAGGTACAGCTACAGGTGTGTATACATGCTGCTGGTGGTAAATGAGCAGATGTCTGCCTATCCATTACACAACACACATACTTGGTGTAGATGAAATCAAGTGACAATTACAATGTGCAGATGTGACAGTACGCTGTGGTCCAGCAGCTAAACATGAACAGATAGGAGGTGAAGGGAGGTATAACAAACAGCGGAGTTTTTATTATGATCCCTTCTCTGATAGGGTAATGAGGAGAAAATTGAATTCTACTTGTGCCAGCTGTTATACACACACGCACAAAAACTCTGATAAATGTGTGTGTGTGTGTGTGTGTGTGTGTGTGTGTGTGTGTGTGTGTGTGTGTGTACCAGTGCAGCAGCGAGGTAACCCATCCCATTGTGTGTGAGCTGGTTGTTCCATAGCACCAAAGTGACGAGGCCTTTCCTCTGCTCTTTTAGTCCTTCGCACACATAAGCCAGACCTGTGATGACAAACAGAGACATAAAACAACTGAGATAGTACATGCACATTTAACTTAACGATATCACAATTTTAACAAAATATCATTAACTAAAATAAAATGTCTAATTTAAGGGAGTCTGGTGCATTAGCAGAGAGCTTATTTGCACTGTCTTGTATTTTTTTCCATTTTCTTTTACAGAAAGTTTTACCCTATCAATAAAACCATAAATATCCCTATCCATAAATCCCAAAGAAATATCACAATGATGTTAATTTGATAAGCTGTTACAAAACGAAACAATACAAACAACAAAAAGGACGAGGTATAATACTTCTGTAATAATACTTCTTACCAACTTCTGTTTGTTTCATAGTGTGGATAGCAATCATTGTTTCGATTTAACTAAAACCAAATCATTCAAATTAAAAAGATTGGGATGAAGACTAAAACTACAATCCTAAAAAGCCTATCCTATCATACTATACTGTGGACAGAAGACAAAACTCATATTTGGCTTTATACACCTTTGTCCTACAGCTGGTAAATACACAGAAGGCACATTCTGACCTAATTTCCTCACAGGGATCAATAAACTCTCATCTTATCTGACGTTGTGAAAAGGTATTGAGATGTACGCACAATAAACAAATCTTCTTAACAAAACAATCCCACCTAGAGAAAGCGTTCACGGCTATAAAATAACAATGCCACCGTATGTGTTTGTGCTCGATCACTGCTGCATACCAGAGTCCAGGATGTGGTTGTTACGCAGGTCCAGGATCTGGATGTTGTAGTTGAATTTGAGCAAGTTGCCAAGTTGGGCTGAGTCCTGTAGGCCATTGAGCTTGTTGTCTGCAAGGTACAACTCCCGCAGGTTCATATTCATCTTCAGAGCCGTAGCTGACCAGAAGAGTAAGACATAAATGAAGAGGAGGGAAGAAAGGGAGATATGGTGGAAAGAAGAAAAACAAAAATGTCAAGAATAAATGTATAAATTTATCAGGACTGTCTGATAATGAAGATGGGACTGGAAAGAGAAAAACCCCTCTCCTTGTACATCCTCTACTGTCACTTCGCCTATCTTACCCAGTAACATGAGTGGCCTGCCAGACAGGCCAGCATTCTCCAGGTGGAGGACTGCCAGGCTGCCACTGATCCTGAGTGCTCGCGCTACAAAGGGAGCCGAGTGGTCCAGCAGAGGAGTGTTACGTGCATCGAGATACTGCAGAGAGCTCGTCTGAGGGGGAAACACCAACAGAGACAATTAATTTGGTATGCATGGATAAAAAGTGCATTTACCCATATCAGAAATCATAATCATGTGTGAAAAAATGTCTTCATTAATGTGATGAGTCTTTATATACACTAAGTGTGGATCTTGAGGGAGTTGGATGCCTTTATCCTAATCAAGTAACTTCTCATTATCTGTCATTATAGCTGCAGTAGTACACTGATGACAGCTAAGAGCTTCACCAGACTCGATAAATACAACATTATCCTCAAATGACATAACTTATGAATGCACAATGAAGCCCAGATAAAGGCAATGACGCACTGTTTTTTCATCTGTTTAATCCAAGGCCTCACCTGAGAGATTCTAAGAGCTTCACCTGTCAAAGCACTTATGTGTTAAGATCTTTTGGGCTTTGCTCAAATAAGTGACGACTTTTTATCATCAACCTATGACACAGCCAATCTACAAGCTGGAGTACACGTGTGAAGTGTCTCCAAGCAGTTTTTAATCTATTGTCACACACTCCATGATTGTAGACATGGGATTTCCTTTTAGTACAAACACTGATCAGTTGAAGAATTAGCTTCTCACACAGTCACAGTTGTGATTACAGTAGAGCTATGGTACTCATACCATTCTGTAAACATGGTTATTGAGTCATTAGTAACTGTGATTAAGAATCTATTGTTTCCCCCTCTAGGATGGGGAGTAATGAACAGAATCTTAAAAAAAACAAATAAACAGGACACAATATTAATAATAAAGACTGCAAAGTAGTTTGTGGTTTGGCAAACAGATTAGTGCTGTTCCCTGCGGTACACTGCCAGGACAAGCAACAATACAGTGAAAATACCCACAAGCTCCACAATCTAGCAAACCTAATGTACAAATGGAACTGAGAGATTTTTTATTAATGCTTAATTTATGACATTTGGTTAAGGACATTTTTTTTTATTGCATGTTTCATCTCACATTTTCTCTTACACTTTAAACTACTGTGCAGTATGAAATGATACAAAAAAACTGTATGAAATCTGTTTTTGTAGAGTGGTTTTACCCTTCCCATTCCTCTGACATAAAATCAACGGTTCCTTGCCTTTGTTTGATTAAAAAAAACCCACTTGTTTAAACTAACATGCAGCTGTTTCCCTGTGTTTCTTACATATTCAGCTTGAAACGTGATATATTAATGTGTTTGCCTCACTACCAATTTGTATTCTTAACAGTAATAAGTGATGACTGACGTCAAAGTGCACCGTAAAGGGCAAGAGCATGACTTTGGAAGAGCATGCGAGCATGTCTGAGTGCTGACAGAAAACAGCAGCGCTGCACAACACAAACTGGCCAGTGATATAGAACAGTGGAAAGACTGGTCTTTTCCCCGAGCACAAAGCCACAATTACAAAAGTAGAGGAAAAGACTTTACTTTGAAGTCAGTAGTATTTGAGACCAAACACACACTTTTATGGCCAAATACAGTAAGATACGATAAGAAGATATGTTGCACTCAGTTTGGTCTTTCCATCAAACACCATTTTTACTTTACGAATGACTGCTTTTATTGTCCATTCTTAAAGCCCTCTGTGAGAGAAGAAAACCTTTTGCTCGACACTGCCATCATCCTGTTTATTCTGTCACAATCCCACCCATCCTCTTATTATCTTTACTGGTGCTCTGCTTGATATTTTATTAAATATTTATGCTGCTACTAGTGCCATTCCTGTTCCCATCTTATGTGTTATGAGTTTATTTTTGCAGTTATTAATACATTTTATAGAATTTGTTTATCCATTAGAATATTTTTAATTAATTTTAGTCCTTTTTCCTTTTTTTTTTAAATCCATTTTATTTATTCATTTTAGTCCTATGCACTTAACAGAATAATACTTACACATTACTGTCTTTGTATTTGTGTTTTATTGCATCTGTTCTTATTGTGAAAACACCAGCACTGATGAAATGCAATGTTGTCCTCCTGTATAGTGATTATTACACATGGAGTGAATGACAATAAATTCTATCTTGAACCTAGAGGTCAGGTCAGATCTTATTTATGTTCTTACTGACATTTTTATTGCACTGTAAATCTGTTTATGTTGTATCTGGGTAGATATTTATTTAATGTCTTACTTTAGAGTGATGTGGTTTTGTATTTAAGACTCCATTGTTTAATTTTATGTTCAATGTTTTATGTCTGTCTTATAATATCTAGGGACCATTTTGGAACAAATGGTTCTTACTTGAACATGTTATTCCTTGGATCGTTGGGTATTTTCTTTAGATCAATAAATAATCTAATCAAATCCTTTCTTTTTCCCACCCTGTCCGTTTCCTGTCCAGATGAGCTATCCATGAACTCTCACCTTTCTCATCATGTGAGCGGCAGCCTGCCATCCTCGAGTGCCAATGTGCTTGTTGAAGGAGATGTTGAGATGTGTGGCTGACTCATAATACTCTATCATGTCAAACAGAGCTGATGCACCCTGAAAAGCAAAAAGAGAGATGGAAGAGAGAGAAAAAATTAATATATCAACTTTTATGGCATTTCAGATTAACATCCAACAGTTTAAACAAATCTCACAGTTGGTCACAGTGTCAAAACCCTGAAAGAGATGTTGCAAGATACAGTCAGGAGCAACTGTTGTTGCCACGGTAACAGACCCTCAGGGTAGGTGAGACCTGCTGAGGGCCTCAGGTGGGGGTAAAGAGGCACCCATCTGGGCTCCTGTCTGTTGTTGCAAATAAAAAAAAAAATGATTCAGTAGGATTGAAAATGTGAAAATGTGAAAATGAACAGAGTAACAGCTTCTATCTTAAAGACAGAACTTTATTTTAGAGCAGGGCAGCAGTCAGTGGTAGAAGTATTCCTACCCTTTACTTAGGTAAAAACAAAATGTAGATCAAGTATAATCAGATTTTTGCTTTTTGAGAAATTTTGTATAATTTTACCTCTTTAGGCTTCAAACTGTTATTTAAATTAAACCATCTGAGAAGTTTAGAGAGGAAATCTCCCTTTGTTGCTAACAAGTCAGAGATTTGAGACATCGCAAGGGCCACAAACTACACACTCTTGACAAAGATTTTATGAAAAACTGGTTTAATGTAAGCAATATTTTGATATTTATCATAGACTGAAAACTTGTGCAAAACTATCAGCATAAAAATTGTAGGGACCAAACCTAGTCGGGAGCAGACACAGAGCTCAAATTAAATGTCAGGTGATGCGGGATAAGGTCGAAGTGCACTCATGTGATCAGAGTGTTTTAATCTCATTTTGGTTTTGGTGGCACTGTGGGGCTCCATCTATTACTGATACACTGACTCTGTGAATGTATTTGTGACAGTGGAGTGGAGAATGGATTGCTGTCTATTTTGTATTTTTTCATTTGATGTCATAGACTTAAAAACACAATCATCAGCCAGTGGTGGACTTGCTCCTATACTGATAGTTTCAGGATGTGTGCATATTAAAGTGGGAGTATGGGTGTATGAGTTTATCCTCTACTGAGGCTAATGAGCTGAAAAAAAATCAGACAGGCTACTGCAAAGCATCTTATACCGTTTTCCCCTTTGTGTGTGTATACTGGGAAACATTACTGAGTATACATGTGTGTTTGTCTACAGGGCGGGAGAAGATGATGAGTCACATTCAGCCCAATAAAAGCCAGCCTGTGTTAGTGCGCCACATGCCTGCTCTTCCTCACGCTCCTTCATCTCTCCAAAACAATTTTTCGTCTTTGAACTTTTCATATCGTTCCCGACAAGACGCCACTACTGCAAATATATCTTTTCCAAATCAAGCCATCTACTGTAAATCTCAGTCACTTCAAAGATGAACCCATCCTCTCACATCCCCATTCGATTCCTTCTCGATCCCAGCTTCCTCTATTCTCTCCTCAATCAGCAACACTTCCTCAATTTTTCTCCTTTCAGAGTCTCATTTTATCTGAGCCTGAGGCAAGACACTTGTCTCAGACCAAGATGCTGCTCTCTTGTGATTCAGTCACTGACTCATTCAGCTACTCCATTCATATTTCCGGGGCAGTGCTCCATGCTGTGTGAAAAAAGTGCGTATGTCACTCTGCATTTGTTTGTGTTATGTGAGGCCTTGGTGCATGTGTGTCTAAGCTGTGTGTGTATTTTGTAAAACAAGTAACTGTTAAAAAAGTATTTGTACAGTATGGTCCATGAATGTAACCGCTTGCATTTTGCTTTATGTATCTAGAAAAACTGGAAGGCCTCTTACCACGTATACCAGTGTTAGGTGCGTTTCCATCCACTCGTTTTTCTGTGCATTTTCTGCAATGGTTGAATGCCAGCTGACTGGAAAATTTGAGCCACCAGCTGTTTATCTTGATAAACCAATAAGAAAAGGTTTCCGTACACAACTGGGTAAAATCTGTTTCACTTGCCAGTGAAATTTCACCTAGATGTGGTGATGTATTTGTCTGTGCCGTCTTGTGGGGCTGGACTTCACCCCCATAAGCAGTACAAGGAAATGCCCCGCACAACACACCAGTCCATCTCAGGGCTAACACGTTCAGTCTGTTAAACTTTGATTAGGTTATTATTAAATTAGAAACCAGGAGAAACCCAGAGTAAACAAAGGAAAACCTCAAAATCACAGGGAGAAGATGCATCCTCTACACAGAAAGGGTTGGGGCTACTTATTTGGTCCTTCATGCTCTGTAATAGTGCTCTTCACTGAGGTACTATTATTGCCTGCTAATAAATCGTATGACCAAAATAAATCATTGGTAATTATAGCACAGGCGTTAATTTTCTGTTTTAATAGCTCCGAGGTTGGAGTTAATGTGGGTTTGAAGTGTTTTAATCCCATATCTGTGGTGTATGTGATGCTGTCAGGACATGTGACCTCCTCAAAAATATGGATGTGTTCACAATTTTGAGAAATGTATAGTAGTCTGTCTGAACTGTCCAGGACTATAACTTTGTATTTGTATTTACTGTAGTCAGCAATAGCAACCAGAAATGAAGAGAGAAAGAAATGGAACAAATGAAAAAGGGGAGGGATACATAAGGTCAAAAAACTATCAGCAGTGTGTATCCTGTCAACTGTGTGCACGTTTACGGGTGTCCTCATGCAGTTGCACATGACACAAACAAAATGGGATGACTCTTTAAGATATTGCTTAATAGCATGACCACTGGTCAAAAACTCCACAGGGTACGTTTAATTCATCCTCTCTCTCATGGAAAAGAAAAATTTAACTGCATACTTGACTGACAGTCTGGAAGTAACATAACAGCTGCCCAAATATCCACAAGTCCACAAGTGTCTCTGAAGACAGGACCACAATTATCAGACCATCTACAAGCGTGTTGAAAAACCAAAGGAGACCAGGGCCAAATTTAACTCTGCAGTTAAAGGGTGAAAGAACTGACAAGGCTTTCCCAGACAGGTATAAAAATAATGAACAGTAATTAAAGTGACCCTACCTACCCTAAAGGAATGTATCTTGTGTGACTGTGGCTAAAAGCAGTCCTTGTGTCTGTGTGTGATACAGCACTCTACAGTATATTTGGGACTCTGTGTGACAGGAAGTGGTAAGGGCCTGTGTCCCTCTGCTCCACAGTGCAGCGCTGTCTCTATCCTTTGCATGTCTACAGCCCAAAAGTCCCTAATGGTGTTTACACAAGTGGACATCTGGAGTAATCAGAAAACCCATGGCAAACCCTCCACATCCTGCCGGTGCAGTAAGAGTGAAAAAGAGGACCAGTGTGAGACTGAAGGCAGATCACAACAGTGACAGAGGGTGAATGATAAAAAGAGACGAGGATGAAGAAAATATAAAAGTATGTAAGCTACACTAAGAGAAATGAAGAGAAGGAGAAGGACAGAGACAGATTTTTTTTTTAAGTGAGATTTTCTTACATCTTCATCCAGGTTGGTCTGCTCCAGGTCTATCACTTTAAACTGGACCCTCTTCAAAATCTCTTCCAGAGACTCACATGCTTTGTAGTCCAGCTTCTCACCTAAAGACATACACGTCTGGTCAATTAACCATTTTGTAGCAGCACACAGTATCTTGTTACGTAACACAAAGTTTGTGAAATCTGTAAAATTTTCAACACAAGTTACATTTTTAGTGTTGACGTAGCTCTCAGGCTGTTGTATGGGAGCTTACCTTTGAGATCTAAGCATTCATTTCGCTGTGTCAGGTCTTTCAGTTCCTACAGAAACAAAAAGAAGCCGAGTCAGTAAAAGCTTGTGAGCTTATGTATTTCCCCATGGGAGTAAACTTTGCTTTTCACATGTTGAAATTTTCACATAACACAGGAGGCAATTTGATAAATCAGCACTCGAGACAAAATACACATCTTGCGTAAACTAAGATAAACCATTGCTGAAAAGAAAAGCATCTGCAGGACACACTTCTGGTGTGTAACCGCTATATCACTGTGCCTTTGAGCACCATTTGTAAGTTTTGGAAAGTACTGAATATGAATATTGAGTGACTCCCAATGATAGCAACTTTGATAGGAGCAGAGCATTAGATGGAAGAGGGGCTCTGCCATCCCTAATGCTGTTTTCTTAGTATGGCGCAGTGTGTAGCAGTGAAGCCCTGATAACTTGGCGAAAAAATACATTGCAATCCCTATAACTGCTTCACAATAAATGGCTCCCTTTGGTTTGCTGGTGGAAAACTCTTAATATGAAGCAGAACAGTTGTAAATATTTGGTTTGCATCAGTAGTAACAGCACAGCTCTGATACAGCTGATATTGTTCAGTAAAATGGAAAATACGGCTGATATCTACAGTATGAACAGGCACATTAGAGTCGAGCTAAATTCAGAGCCACAGATTCATGTGAAGATATTCATGTTCACGGCTAGGCAAGACTCAGCGACATTAAAACAGGCACATGGAAACTTGGCTTAAATGTGCCTTGACCGTTTAAACGTTGAGCCCATTGTATGTACCAGCTGATTTTTTAAACCTGAACATGTACTGCTGTCAGTGTGAGTGTTCAACCTGACCATGTCATCTATTCTGCGATGTAGTTTGACACCACAGGAGAACAGATCAAAAGGTGGAAAGTTATTTAACCTCTTGTCCTGGTAAAACAGCCAACCAACCACACAAACATGAAAACATACAGAGAACTGCCCTCAAAACTATGTACCAGCAAATCCCTCTCTCTCTAGTTGGCTGCCCAACCCATTCAGCATGAACTCCATAACCTCTGCCCTCTTGCCACCACTCCTCTGTGTGTGGCTGAACATACAGATGCTGGTTTAGTTGTACTGAGGGTTCACCGCCTCCTGCATGACTCAACAGGTCCCAAAGACATGTACCACACACACACGCCACATCTAAAAATCTGTATTCCAATAAATAAAAACAGCAGGAAACACTATGATGCTAAATAATATATCACAGGAGTTATAAACGAAATGAACCATTCATTTTAGGTAGTATTTCAATTTCAACAGTATTTTCTCAGTATGTTTTGGGAGATATGGTTTAATCAAAAACGTGATGTTCTTCAGAATCCAGAGGGCGTTGACTGTGCAAACATTTTTTGCACATTTTGGGCAATTTAACAGAAAGTCAATCTTCACCTACCATTAACTTGGGCATCTGTCAGTGAGAATGACTGTATCAGTGTAAATACTTCTCCGACAGAGGTGCCAGAACCCAAAATAGCCCATGACGCACAGTGAGCCTCTGCATGAGTGGTGGTATGGGTGTGTGTGTGTGTGTGTGTGGGTGGGTGTACAGTGGGTGTACTACACTGAGCTACTGACTCCATTTGTGATCTTGTTCATTAAATGCTGTGGTGACTATTGCCATGATGTGCCTGCATGTTAAACAGACTGTATATTGTATATTCGTACATTTCTGAAACAGCGTCCTATAGTCTAATGACCTTCTGCAAACCAAATTATTAGCCTGTAATCAATGATTGCTGAGTTTTCAAATGGGAAAGGACAGGTGGAGGTGCACGCGAAAAAACTTCCTGTTGCTTGTTATTGAAGGATTCTACAAAAAAAGTCCAAATTCAGCAGCTGGATCTTTTAAAAGACATGGCCCTTATAATCGGCCCGTCAGAGGACCTGCTCCTCCCCTCCAAATGAGACAGTTACAAGGTCCTTGTGCTGTTCAAGCGCAACATACATTGGCAGCATCATGTCACATAATTTGATGCTCAAAGCACACACTAGATGCGCCCTACAGACAGACCAAGTAGTTCGGTTGCGGGTTGTTTGTAGCCTTATTGTTGCTAGGCTAGTGAGTGTTTTTCAGTCTGTTCACAGTGAGTGTTTCAGAGTTAGTCAGCCCTACAAATGTTTCATTAGCCCAGTTTAACCTGCAGGAGTTTCTGAAGGCAGGTGTAACATGTTTTGCTGCCACGGAAGAAATAAATTCATGATGACTGAAAATGAGTTTGTGATGTTTCACCAAGTCTTTACTGCAGATGTGAACCAGGGAGAAAATGTCAAACAACTCTAAGAGAGAAGAATGAGAGTGAGAGAAGAATTGACTCAGTCTGTCGGCTAGTGGCTACACTCGCTGACTAAGTGACCGGCCTACTGACTTCCGACTGACCAGAAATTTTGGTAAGTACCCAAATGCTTTTCCATTGTCTAATGGCTGTGCGTACACTTCAAATCCATTCACTATAAGCTTTGTTTTACCAATGGTACTTTGTATTGTGCGATCAGTCAGGAAAATGTAAAGGATTACTTCAGGACATGGGCGTACTTCAGCGTGAGATCAAGTTATCTGTAAATGTATTACAATCTGAATAGAAACAGCTACATATGGCTGAGTGTCATGACATTTCCAGACTTTGTGGAAATCACTTCAATATACAACTGAATGGTCCTGAAGGAATTATGATACTAAGGGTGAAAATCAGTTGAGTCCTCCAAATTTGCTGAAAAGAAAGCTGCATTTCTAAGCCGCATTTGAAGAGGCGTTTAAAATGTCTTGTCGGCCCAATGACATCTTTAGTCTAGAAATATGGACTTTGAAGGGTCCAACCCTTAAACTGTGACACAGCCTACATGGCCTCTGAATGGTGTCCTCAATGTGCAACAATATATCTGTGTTTTCATATCACAATTGCAGCAGCATGAGCACAGCATGATGTACACGTGGCTGAAGATTTTGCATATTTTTTTGCATGTTTCTGTATACTCCCTGTAACATATGACCCACCACCAGCATTTAAGGAGAGCATGTTTCTGCATATTCACAGAAAGCAAGTGTGCACCCTAGTTGCGTGCGAGACATTGCATAATAGGGAAACCACTTGTCCCTGGGGGGAATTGCAGCAGCAGAAATGTGACACAAGGCTACCAAGTGTCCAGGTTTTAAGACTCTGATGGGAGTTACTGCGGAGCAGACATTCAACATGCAGTCGCTAAATAGCAACCCTTATAAACACACAGACACACAAACAACTGGCCAGAAATGTACATAATCTGTAGGGCCCCTGGCAGGCTGCCACGTGTACTGTGCAGTTGAACTTAATAAAGAAAGCATTTAGAGTGAAAGAGGAAAAAACTGTAAATAGTTGAGCTGCTCTTGCTAACTCCCCTCTCACTGGCCAGCCATTTGGTCTGACCGGCTTGTTTATTTGGCTGGTTACTGCAAGGATGACTAAGCAGAAATGAGAGGGGGATGTAGTGGACCAAAAGACTCCAGTGGAAGGGAGGGATGGAGAGAGGCCAGACATGAGCAACCATGAGTAATAACAAAAATGCAGAAAATGAGGGAGGGAAGGAGGGGAGAAGGTGGGACAACTCTGTGATGACCACGAATCTCAGGTCAGTCATCTCCCAGTGGAAATGTACCCAGACCATAGGACTAAATGAAGCCCACAGCAGCAGCTTAGCACAGTGATGTGCATTTCCACAAGTAGCTGAGATGTTAACAGAACTTCTCTCTATCAGCTGACATGGCGTGTGGGGATTTCTTTGCAGAGTCTCTCGAATCACAAATGTGTTTCCAGCTGGGGCTCACTCTCCTTCAACATCATCACACACACATGGAGACACACCTGCAGGTACAAATGTGCAAAGCTCCAGCAGAGAGGCCCAGTTAAGGTTATATGAGCGTGTGCTGTGGTGACTGTGCGGCAGAACAAACAAGCGAAAGTGCTAATGTGCCCCTGCTGCAAAGGCTAGCACTGTAAACTCCTCTGTCCTGTCAGTATCTCAAATAGAAGGCAAGAGACAGGCACCCATATGTTTGCAGACACACAGTTCTAAATTATCAGAGTTATCAGATCCAGCATTAAAATTTTCAGTAACGGCTCTGGCCTTTATTTACCTACACAAAAGAGAGCTTTTGTGTCTTAAATATATTTTTTCCAGGCCATCATATGACACATTCACATGAAACATATTGCTATAATATGCATTGCTTCATGATAACTAATAGGCCTTTTTACTTAGTTATATCTACAATACAAGTTGAGTCCTCTAGCCTCAGGTATCCAGCCCCATTAACACTGGGTGATAAGTGGACAGGAATTTATGTCTGCTTGAGAAGGGCATTAAAAAAAGCTCTGCCTATTCATTCATGTTTCCTCTGCCTGCTCCTCTTTGATACGGCATGTCTCACATTCTGTAGACACAACACCCTCACAAGGAAACATTTGAGTATGTTAACAATCGCAACACAGATCAAGCATGTGCACCAATTCACATAGAGGCACGAGGTTGGTAGAACTATAAAAACAAACAGCCCCGAGGCTTTCCTCACTGGATTTGAAGAAATGCTTATACAGAGGGATTATGGGACACATGACTGTGCTGGCTAACCCACAAGAGAAAGACAAAAAAAAAGAAAGAAAAAAAAAAAGACACAAAACACCCGTCTGCCTGCTGGAAGTCACAACCACGCTTGCTGAAAAAGGAAAAAGGCCTAACTCCACTGGATACTTTGTCCAGGCTCATGCTTTGGCGCGTTATGTCGTGCCCTCAAGCTACATTAACAGGCTTTTGAAGTGTTTTCATCACGAGACAAAAAGAATATTTTGTTCAACCTCAAGAACAGGAACCCTCACAATTACCAAGAACGTTTGGGTGGAACCACTGCGACTTCCTAACTGTTACTTGTCCAGCTCCTGGCTGCACAGTGCAGCCCACTGCTGGCACAACTGTATAAGTTTCTATTGGTGAATATATATGAGTGAGTATATAGTTATTTTTACACCAGGGGTTTTGAATTTGCACAGCATGTACACTTCAGACACTGAAAACAAATTTTGTTCACATGTATATTCAAATCATAATTGAAGGGTCACTCTCCTTTATCCCACTGGCATATTCGACAGTAGATTCCAAACTCCATCTTTTGGTGCTCATAAAATACATATTCTTTAATAACTATTTTGACCAGATATTAATTCACACTGTGATGAGGCAAAATAAATATTATTATATGTCAATGCTAAACAACTCATTATTTTGGTTATCAATTAATCTGCACATTATTTCCTCTATTTATTATCCATTGATTGGTCTATAAAATGGCAGAAAATCATGAAAAATGTCCATCAATTTTCTACAGCCCAAGACTTCAAAGTGCCTGTTTGTCTGACCACCAGTCCAAAACCCCAACACATAAGACTAAGAAGTCACCAAATACTAACATTAGAGGAGCTCCAACCTGTCAATTATTGTAATTTTGATAAAAGATTGCTGAAATGATTATTTCATTCACAAAATTGTCCCCATTTAAAATATTTATTGTTAGTAAAGGATTAACAGAGGGATTTATTGACAATAAGGTAGGTGAAAGATGATTTACACTTCTTTACAAAAAAAAAAAAAAAAAAGCTTTATCACAAACAAACACAATTAGATTTTGTCTTTGTGGAGGGATCTGGTCAGAAATCATTTCCTTCTGACTGCACTTGTGGTTTGCTGGGATATCTGGGGTATCCTAATGAAGCCTTTGCCATCAAAAAGCAGCCATGGGCAGCTTCATGACGTGTTTGTAATGACAAGGTCTGCAGTAAAGGGGAACCAGCCACATCAAATTTAAGAGCAAACGGGGGAAAAAAGCAAATTCAGCCAGCTGGGGATGTGACGGCTTTCCACTCTGCCAAGAGATTTAGGAGGGGATTATGACGTTTCACAAGAGGTGGCAAATAACATAGTTTAAAGTTGAAGTGGGCCTTCTTATTCGTCCTCTCTCTGATATTGTTCTCAGCATTTCCTCACAGGGTGAAATTTTTATTTTCCTTTTCTAACAACAGACAAATCGATTGAATCGAATCGAAAACTATCAATCAACACTCTCATAACTGTGCAAGAGAGAAAAAGGGGACAAAAGTGTAAAGAAACAATGTTGTTAGCATTGGGCTGGCTGTGTTAAGTTTGTGTTAAGTTGGGCCTTACCTGTATCTGTTTGAGCACTTTGGGTATAGGTTTACAGTTGAGTTTCTGACAGGCCTGTTTGTAGGAAGAGAGGATCTCCTCCACTGTCACATTCTGAGCTGTAAAACACACAAGATTAAAAAGGTTAGGATTGCTTTTATTGCTTTGTTTCTTTGAGCACATCTGTCACTCTCTAGGTGGTAAACAAACACACACACAAAAAGAATCAGACTGAGTGAAAACATCACACCAAGTGTTTTGTCCAGATCCTGTTCTTTCTGCATCCTTTAATACTGTCTCACCTTTGTTGATACTCTGTTTATTATATTCCTGTTAATTTTGTTTCCACATAATAAAGCTGCAAAGCTCACACTTACACACATTAAAGCTAGTAATCCTATGTGCTAAAGTTTAATTGCATGGGAGCTTTCCTCTGATGGTTTCCTATAATCTTTTGTGTTATATGTCAGGAAGGTTTGGATGCGATTTAAACAGGCTCACTTTATCTCCAACACTGAAGTTCAAAAGAATCACTTTAAAGGTGTGAGCAGTAGGAATATGCAAAGCATAAATACATGCAAAAGGCTTTTAATCAAGTGGCTGCGGTCACATTGCTTGCTGGTGTAAGTTGCCATATCATTAAGTAAAATGATGCCCATTTATTTTTGTGAGCGCTGCAGTTCACTTGCAGGTCACTTGCTTATGAAGCTGTGGTGCCAGTGACACTAGTCCAACAAAGCGCAACAGTGGTTCTGACAGCCACCATTTGCAAAGCAAACAGATAAAACATCTGAAATGGTTTGGGCTTTACAGAGGTAAATGTCTGAAACATGGATGAATCTGCCCTGATACCGATCTTCCTGCAGTTCAGCTCAGTAAATTATCAAAATAATAAAGGTCTAGGACTGGGACACACTTGGAAAACAGTTTCTTTTTATGAGACCTATTTGTGTGTCTGCCTTGGGGAGCACTCTCCTGACAGAGAGGATCAGAAATTGTAACCCCTTTAAGGACTCCCCTACTTAAGTCAGCAAAAAGGAGGTATTGTTCTCAGTGTGTGTGTGGGTCAGCCGCTGCTGCCATCCCAGACTGTTGCGGGGGCTAACTCCCGTCAGGTGACTAGGCAACATTCAAACCCACTGTTCTGGCTGAGAGACTCTGTTGAGAGATGAAGTGAGGTACTCAAGCAGAGAAAGAGAGAGAAAAATAATGACAGAAACATAGAAGAAAAAAAAATTGGACTCAAAGGTCAGGACATGAAATTACATGGACATCACAGGACATGATATGCATTCTACTTGCAATCGGTACTTATTTTAGATCCTCTAGGTATATACATAGACAGATAAATACATTCAGAGTAAGCAGGGTATGCTGTTACAGACAGAGCCCAACCTACTGTACTAACACATGGCACTGTTGTGTGTGTGTGTGTGTGTGTGTGTGTGTGTGTGTGTGTGTGTGTGTGTGTGTGTGTGTGTGTATCTGACTTTGTGTTGAAGTCAGCATTTTGATTTCTCTCGCCAAGGTGAGAATTTGTCCACTTCACTTTTCCATCAGCTCTATCTCCACTCCCCTTTGTCTCCCAGTATCAGATGCATGTTCTTAAGTTTACCATCCATCCACCTGTACAATGTAGCAACAGACCAAACTACACTAGCTAGCATTACTAATGTAAAAGTAATAATGAAACCTTTGTCTTTCTTTACAAATAGTTTCAGTATTGCCTTAGAGGTAAACATGTACTCCAGATTCTGAGATACCTCTTCTGAAATAGTTTTGTGATATAACTTGCTAATAATGCTGACGCACAGGGCATTGCTGGCCTGGAGTGTAGCACCACTAGCAGTGTGCAGATTTGGATGGTTGAATCTGTATGTCTATAGGTTTGTACAAGGTCAGAATGAATAACCTGCTGGTGGGACAAAGAGGCAGTTCAAAACCTGCATGAGCAGCCATGCATGTCTGACTGACCGTGTTATTTACTGTCTCAATGAAACTCTGCAACGTCAGACTAGGGCGGAAAATTACTACTAGAGACCAGCATTGTGGCGAGTAATGGTGTGTGTGTGTTTTCATTCCCACACCAAACAGTCACCAGAACAGTGACTCTTTGATCCTGCAACAGGTTCCTGGTACATACTGTATGGACATACACACACACAGTCCACCGTGCAAGAGCCCCAACCAGAATGAATCACTGGTGCATTAACAAGGATGAGAACCCTCGTCTGGCTTTAAACCGTGTGTCGTATGACGAGTCTTTCATTACCTTCAAATCGTCACATCATTCAAACTATTATTCCATCGAAATCTACATGCTCCTGCTAGGTTATGGAGGAGACTGCCTGCCAAGGACTAAAGGGTCTATATAAGAATGGTTCTTAGTATTAATTGCACTACATGTCCTTGCTTTTAAAATGTTATTTTGTGAGTAAGAAATTAACATTTTGCCTCAAGATTGAAATGTAAATGCAGTAATTCTATGATAATACCTTGTCTGTCTAAAATCTAAACTTCACTTTGAAAAAGACATAGAAATATGTATACCCATGAAATTTCCAGAAATGAAAGAAAAACAATCCAAATATTAAATTAAGGACTTCACTAAACAGAATAAAGTCTTTCAGTTTATACCACAGTGGGCATCTGACAAAGCATGAATATATAAAAAGAAGTTTACACCAATACCCGTGATGAGACTGAAGACAAAGAAAGACACTAGAGCTGCCACTATTTGTCAATTAATTGATTAGTTGATCAAAAGAAAATTAATCAGCAACTACGTTGAAAATGGATTAATCATTACGACATTTAAAAACAAAAATATTAAACATTTGATTTCTCCAGGTTTGCAAATGTGACATTTTGCTGTTTTTTTGTTATTATACAAAATGAAATATTTCTCAAGACAATTGACTGACACAACCTTGTGCTCAGGGATATTACAATGGACATTTTTCAATGTTCTCTGATGTTTTATAGATCAAACAATTCATTAGTTTATCAATAATGAAAATAATTGTTAGCTGCAGCACCAGAAGACACACAGTCCGACATTTTTAGGTGTAGAAATGCAGGCACAGCAACACATGATGATCATGACCTCTACAGAGACTTCGACCAAGCACAAAGGTGACACTAACAGTCACATATTATATGTCAGGGACACAAATGTTCCTACTTTTGTCAAAATTGCGATGGGTTTCTTTTGGAGACTGTCTTCTTTTTTTATTCTTTCAAGTTTTACCTCTCATTTTTCTCTACACCCATGATGCAAAGTAGCCCTGCAATCATAAAAACACGTTAATAACTCACTGTGGTGGATTCAAGGTAAGGCTCACCGTCATTCATGCAAATTCCAGGGTTTCATTGGCATCAAACCAGGACATTTTTATTTTTTATTTTATTTTTTATTTGACCCAATTAGTCCTAATTTACATTGTGTACTTTATCGACAAAACATATCTAGACACAGCTCTGTTAATTTAACCTAAATGCCTCTGCTTCCCAGTATGGAAGAGTGCAATCTTGTAAAATAGTAGAGAACAGTGTGTGCGTTCCAGTGAACACTGTGTCCTTGGAAAAGTGTTATTGTGCAGAGTCGCTGTGGAGCAAGTGTGTGTGTAAACACTTCCTGAGGGACAGTGGGGTATTGGGGGTGGGGTGTCCCATGCTTACTATACAGTATTTTCACGCATTGCTCATTAATTATAAAGAGAAGTAGAGGTGAGCCTGTTGGACACAGAATAAAACAAGAAGATGGGCCCATTTGTTCTTATGAAAAATAATCTATCACAACTGTACCCAAAAGCAAAGAAACGGTTGTATGGAAAATTACGCTGAACACATCAGAAAAAAAAATATAAGAATGTGAAAGCAGGGAATGGTGAAAAAGAGACAGAAAAACAGAAACCAGTAACAGAGCTACTTCAGAGTCAAATGTTCGATGTTAAGTAGAAGTCAGAGATGTGAGCTTCAGGGCTGCAGGATCATTAAGAGCTGAGCTACAGCTGTTGCCTGCATTTCTGCTCGCTCTGTCCTTGTTTTATTGCACTCCCTCCAGTGCTGCTGGTACATGTATGGAGGGAGTGGTGATGAGGAGGTACACAGAAGGGGGAGAGAGGGAGGGAAAACAACTGCTCCAAACAACATCTTTGAAAACCAGGTTACGAGGAAGTAGAGAGCTGATGATATGCACGGTCAAAAAAAGGTAAGATTACACTGACTGTGCAAAAAATAAAAAATAAAAAATAAAAAAAAATAAAAAAATAAAAAAATAAAAAAAAATAAATCACTAAATCCACCTCTTCCTCTGAGAGACAATACATTTAACTACCTAGATGACTGAATATCGCACTGCTAAACAGCTTAGGAAGGTCTGATATTTCATAAACATAGTAAAGCTGTCAGGCAATATTTTTCCTTAGTTGCACTGCACCATACTAAATTTGCTCTGACTATCCCTTCAATAGACAGAAACCAGCTCTTCATGTTGTACTGAAGACAAAAAAAACACACAAAGGGCAGGTCCGCTGCTTTAAAAACACCCTGGATTGAAATTGCAGGTGTGGAGAGACAAGGAGATGAGGCAAAGATAAAGGAGTGAAGGGAAGGTCCATCTCTGCTCTGATTCAGTGCATCTGCTTAATGACACAAACAAGCAGCACACCCCTTTTTTCCCCTGTTATTGTTGTTGGCCACCATCCACTGTCCATCCAGTGAATTAAGCTGAACAATATCATACAACAACTCTTCAGCTTTCTAACCCTCACACATTTCCCCACATTATTATAGAGTTAAAGGTCAATAGGAAATCAATACAATCAAATCTAGATGGTCTCAGTATGGCAACAGATCTGGAAACGAATTCAGGATAATCTAATGTGCTGGGGTATGCTCCTCTAACAGTCTAGTGCGGCATAAATATACCAAATGTATAACAATACCAGATTTAATGTTACTAAATTCTTCTCTAAACTGTGTGTGTTTGAACTCTACAATAACATCTTCTGGCTTTGTTGCATCTGCGCAACAGTGCACAGCCAGCTGGATTGGTATCTTGCGGCGAGGAAAAACTGCAGGCAGCGAGGGAGGTGTACCTGTCATATATTATAAA